CCCTCTGCCTAAGCCAACCAGCCTTGTCGAGTCAGGGCTAACACTGCTAGACCATAGCCCTCCTGGGCTGTATCTCTCAAATGCCAGCTTCCCTTCCTGCCACACATCAGAGTGAGTATGAACAAGCTTTACATCCACCTCTAAGCTAAAGAGATCCCGAGGGCAGGGCCCCTGGCCGATTCATCTTCATACAACCCCCAGCACTAATGAGCACAGCACTCACCAACTATTTCCTCAGCCACTGCCACATGCCAGGCACTGTTCTGGGGTTGGGGATACAGTGGGGAGCAAACCAGACAAGCTCCCTGCCTTCTTGGAGCTTACATTCTAGTGCGGGAGGCAGACAATAGACAGGAAGAGAATCAAGTTTCTATCCCAGATAGCTAGGGACGCCATGACGAACGTATTACCAGGCTGTTTCAGTTGAGATCTAATGACAAGGTGAAGCCAGCTGTGGGAAGATTTGCAGGAAGGGCCTTGCAGACAGGAGAACAGACAAGGAGAAACACGTGAGCTCCGTGTGTTCAAGGACCAAAAAGGAGCCAGGTGGCTGGAGTACAGGGAGTGGAGGAGGGTCAGAGAGGCAGGCAGGGGCCAGACCCCAGAGAGCCCACAGGAGGGTAGCACAGGAGTGACCCACATGCCTCACTAGAGGAGAGTCCCACTGTGGCTTTGCGAGGCTGGGTTGTGCTGTGACAGCCCTCAGAGCAGGAATGCATCGCTATCAGTCGAATTGATGACAGGATTCCCATCATCCCAGACAGGCAATCAGCTTGACTTGGGGCTCTCAAAATGCCCATGGAACCCCATCTCTTCTCAGCCACACTCCGCTTCTAGATCCTTGCCCTGCCAACACCCCCTTCACAGCACCAAGGAACACAGCTGATGGCAACGAAGGAGCAAGCCTGACTGCCGTCCGCCCATCCACCCATGCCTAGCCCTCGGTGTGCGTTCAGCAGACATCTTCCGTGCCCAGGCCTTGCGGTGGGCGCTGAGGGTGTGACGATGAGCAACACAAGCCCCGCCCCCAAAAGCTGCCCCAGGCTCTCAGGGCACCACCGTTGGCCAGGAGCTGCCCAGCACCCACCTCTCCAGGTAGGCCTCCTGGTAACACCTGCTGTGAGCGCCTGACATGGTTCTGAAGGGTGGATTAATTCACTCCAAGGGGTTAAACAGAGAGACAAGCTCAGTGCCCCGCCTGCTTCCGGCCCACCCCCACCCCCATTCCTCCCTCCACTGACCCAGGAAGAAAATATGCCCAGTCTCAGGAATGAAGCTGTAGTTGGTGGGATGGCAGGTACGATGTATTTGAAGACAAAGGAGGGTTTTGGTGTTGGCTTGAAGAGTGGGAGGTGAGGGGGACCAACGGGGACTAGTCTGGGGAAGGGGTGGGGAAGAGGGAGAGAGCTCTGGCTGCACGCCTCAGACCTCCGCAACCAGCACCGAACAGATGCCACAGCTCATGGTCAGAGGGAGCCACGTCTGATTTGTGGCTTTCAGAATCTCCTCCTGCATAAAAATCATAGTTGCCATTATTCAGAGAAGCAAATTACCCCCACTTGAGCAGGTTCTTAAGCTCTACCCTGTGAGGTTTCTGGGGTGCGCCTCATTCTGTGCAAATGGGGGGGTCAGTGCCTGAGAAAAAGCACCCACACTGGCTCTAGGACATGCTTGAATCCCAGATCCCCCAGAGCAGCTGAAGTTGCTAGAAGTCCTGCGGGGCCCCTCCACACGGGTCAGGGTTCACTCCAGCCCCCCGCCATGCAGTGGGTGGCAGGTTTTCTTCCAGTGGGCACAGCCATCCTGGGGAGAAGTCAGCGCCAAGCCTGGTTCCAGACCCTTGAGTCTCTTCCTCCCAGGAGGGGAGGAGGGGTTATAAATAGCCTGGACTCCTTCAGCCCTCCACAGGCACAGATCCCACACCCCCGCCCCAGCCTCAGCCAGCTGGTCCCTCCTCGCCCAAGTTCCCACAGCCTTCTGGAAGAGGGAGGGAAATGGCTCACCCACAGTTGGAGTGGAGAACACAGCCCTTCAGGCCCCCATGGGAGCGAGTGGCCGCCCATGAACTGTAACTGTAACCCTGCCACACCTCTAAACCCCTTTGTAACTGCAGTGTTGGAGAGGGCTGGGGGGTCACAGTATTATTAGGGGGACTCTTTCACCCTGGTCGGCCCAGAAACCCCAAGCTGCATGCTCAGAGTATGTTCCTGCAGTGAATGGACTTACAGCAATAACATTCTCCCCTCTCTCTGCCTTGGTTTCCCTATCTGTTAAGAGCTGAACTATGAACTATGAGTTACCTATGAGATTAGCATGCAACGAAAGTGAAAAGGCAGTGTCAAACTATAACATCGTATTGTCATGAAGATACCAGATCTTGGTTTCTTCTCCAGGAGCCCCAAGCGCAGCTATGGGGACATTGATTCTTATCTGTTCATGAGAGAAGAATTATGCTCGGTGACACTGCATTAGCCTTGAATTCTTGATACTGCGTGCCCTTGAAAGCATAAAACTTACAAAATGTTCTCTCTTATAAGTCGTTTCTGACTAATACAGATTGACACACACCACATCCAGAATTATTTTGATTTAATACGGTTCTGCTGGACCGTACATGACATTTTATACTGAAGAATAAGCATTGCCCTAGAATATTTAGGTTCGGGAGAAAAAAGTTCTCTTAACAATCATTCTGTTTATCACTCAGACCCTTCCTGCCCATACACACTGGTAAGAAACAAGTGGCTAAAGTTTAAGTGGCCAACTCGCAGTTCTTTTTAATTAAGACACTTTGTGTGCTCAATAAAATACAACGTAAAAAACATTTACTGAAAACCCACTCATTGATGTCTAATAGCTGTGTCAAATACCCATAACAACATTTATTCCAACACCCCCAGATAATTGCTCATCTTTCTCATTTAGTATCCACAACAGCACAGCATTTGTGCCCAAGTGTGATTGATCCAGAATTGGGCTCCCTTTCAAAAATATCTGTAAAACCTAATTACCAGGAAAACAGAGTTCTGGCATCCTACGGAAAGTGGGTGCCTCACAGTGAGACGAGCTGCAAACTCATCTTGGCTAATCAAGCCACATTACGTTACAAAAGGAGTTTGAGGAACTTGGGGTGAGGAGGGAGCAGGAAAAGTTGGGATAGTGTCGGACTGGAAATCTGCAGTGACAGCTCTGATCTTTTTAAGCCAAGGGCAGAGGACAGGAAATGGGCTGGCAGGCATGGATGTAGAAAGTACCGGATAATGAGCCCATGATGGGCTTGGGGTGTGGGAGTGGCATTTCTGATCTCAGGCCCTACAAGGCCTTGTTGAGGGAACTCTCTCCACCCCGGTCTGGGAGGCTGATGTCATTTCTAGTCTCCCTGGGCCTCTAACCACTGTGGCAGGTCACTCTCCTTCCTCGGGCCTGAATCTGCTCCTCTGTAAAACGAGCACTCTTTAATATTTCTAGGGTCTCTTTCAGCTCCAAAATTCTGTGACTTCCTTTAAAGCAAAGGACATGCTTTCTGCTCAGGTACTTGCTGGGGCTGGGGAATAAGGAGTGGGAACAGCACCAGCCAGAATGAAGGACTGAGTGTTTCCAGCTCCCATGCAGTTCTGTACCGACTTGCAACACCTGGGTATCAGACCCACTCTGGGAATAATGATTTCTTTCAGCCCAGGATGGAGCTACCCGGGTGGTGCTAACCTCCGCTGCCCTGGATTTGTCAACCTGGCCAATGAGGAACGGGGCCAAACCACTGGATTTCTCAGAGCCTCCCTCCCAGAGCTGACCAAGGCACATCTTCCTCTTGTGAGGGTCTTCCCTTCCCACCGTCATCGCTCTTTCCGTCCCGGAGGCCCCAGAAACCCCAGCCCTCGCCTGGAGAATGGTCCAGCGAGGCTCCCTGGGCAGGCAGCACAAGCCACAGACTCCTGGCTCCCCTCGGTCCTGGACCCTCCACACCTCGGCTTGGGTAGCAGCCCCCGCGGCTGGATTCAAAGGAAACGGGAGCTGTTGCCGCTTCTCTTTTCTTTGGCTCCTCCTGGCTTTCTTCCTAATGAAATCAAAGAAGCAGCCCTAATAACAAAGCAACACAGTGGCCGGAGACGATTCGCTTTCAAAGGAGCAGGAGATGCGCACACCATGAGCGAAGGCGCGCTCGGTTCCCGTGCGCGTCGCTAGGAAGAGATTTTGTGCTGACCCTTGTGGGCGACAGGTACCGGGCCGGCCTTCGCTTAACTTTCCCGAGGCACAGAGGAACCGTTGAGTGCTCCCATTTCCCGCAATTTCCCAAGTGGACAGCAGCATGGGTCTCAGGATCCTGCAAAGACACCACCTCGAGCAGGGACCGCTACGAAGCCCTTGAGGCGCATCGCGAGATGCCGGGTCCCAGACTTTCCAGTTCCTTTCCTAATCTTCAAGATAAGACCTCAGTGCGGGTGCCAAAGTCTCAAGAAACCGCCACTCTCCAAAATGTTCCCGCGCCTTCCTGGCAGAAGTGCGGTAAAAGTTTTGGCAGAAACCACCTGTGGCTGCCGACAGACCCGCCCCGCCCGGGCCCAAAGGCGCCGCCGAGCCCGGGGCCGCACGCGCCCGTAGAAGTTCCCTTCCAGCCCCGCGCGCCACTTCGCTCCGGGCCGCGGTGCCAGCCAGGAGGCGCGGCGCCCGCTCGCTGGCTCGCTCTTCGCTGGCTCTCCCCTCCTCCCTCCCTCCTCCCGCCTCCTCCCGTTGCATGGCTGCCGCACGGAGCCCCTGAATAGCCACCACAGCCCCCCGCCTCCTGCCCGCCGCGCCGGGGGCGCCCCTGTCCCAGCCTGCGCCCCAGGGTGCGCGGACCGCCGGCCTCCTAGCAACAGCCCGGGGGATCGCTCCCCGGCGCCTGCGATGTGGAGGCACCCTCCGGGAGCCCCGCGACCCCCGACCCGCCTCAGCAGCCGAGATGCGGTAGAGACCGCGACCCTCGCAGTCGATGCCCCAGCCCGGTACGCGAAGCCACTCACCTCTGCGCGCCGCCGGACCCGCGCGCCTCCTGCACTTGGTGCCGGGCCGCTGTCCTCGCGTCCGCCTTCGCCGCCGCCGCGGTCCGTCCGTCCCTGTGCGCCGGAGCTGCGCGGGCCGCTCGGCTGTCAGAGTCTCGTGGCTGGGCTGCGCCGGCTGTGTGGAGCCGAGCGGCAGTGGCGGGCGCGCGGCAGCTCCTCCCTCGCTGCTCCGCGCCTCCGCCCTCCTAGTGCCCCGCCTCCCGCGCCGCGGCTGTCAGCCCTGCGCCCCGCGCCCGGCGCCCGCGCTGCCCGCGCCGGCGGCTCGGGGTGCTCACTGGGCTAAAGGGCCCGGATGTCTGAGGTCGCCTCTCTCGCGCTCCCGCCCTCCCCTGCACCCCCTCCCCGCCCTGCCACACATGCACTTGCTGCGTCTCAACCTCCTCCTCGGCTCCAATTAATTTCTATTTTGACAGTAACTGTGGCTGGAGGCGGCGCTGCTGGGGGCGCCCAGGACCCGCGGAGGCGGCGGGCTGCAGTCAGACCGCGGCGCGAGGGCGGAGTGGGGGGCCGGGCAGAGCCACCCTCCGCTCGGGGCTCCGCGTCTTTTTTCTTTCTTTTTTCTCTTTGCCTCCTCCAGGATTTAAAGGGACAGCCCAGGCCGAGGCGAGGGGCCAGGCGGCCGCCGTTTCTCCGGTCTCCAGACGCCCTCTGCGGCCCGGCCGGACCCGCCGGCACCCGGGGCACAGGCTCCAGACCGCCGGGTATTTTTAGGTCCACACCCGGCCCAGGACACCGGGGCGGCAGAGCTTGGCTCGGTCGCCCCGGCGCACGGCTATTTTTACAGAGTCCAGTGGGGGAGGAAATAAAACAACTCAGCAACTGCTTTTCCAACCGAAAGTAGGGAGCAAGGAGTCGGGGCGAGAAGTTTCCCAAATGCTCTCGGAATTCCAGAGAGCTCAGAAAGACACCTCTCCGACACGAGAAACCGCAGGCGCGCAGCACTCCAGGGCTCCCAAATCCCTGCGGGCCTCCCCGCCCTGGAGGCCGCTTAGGCGCAGGGCCCCCAACCGCTCGCCGGCCAGGGTACCCCGCAAGCTGCACAGCGCTTGCCAGGGACCGGCCTCGGGCCACCCGTCACTTGCCTGGACTGCCTGGAAGGCGGCCTTCAGAAGCATCCAATCACCCAGCTACGCAGCCAAAGGGCGGGCACTAGAAGGACTTGACTCCACCCGGTTCCTCCAAGCCCCGCCTCCGCGGATACTGTACCCGCTGGAGAGTCTCGGTGGGAAGCGCAGCAAGCGCCGAGCGGTGATGGACAGCGCAAAGGGCCCATCCGCGGGAAGAGGAGGGGGTCTCGGTCCAGGAGCGAAGGCGTGAACTGTCGCTGGCTAGGCGACTCCTGGGCAGATGTTCCGGCCACCAGCAGGCCGGGGCACACTGGCGCTCAACCTTTCTACAGCTCCCGCCTTCCGCATTCCCTGCAGACATAGAAACCCTTGCCCGCCGTGGCTTGCCCGACCTCTGCGACTGTACCCTCTGATGTCAGCGGATCCTCTCCGGGACTCTTTCTTCAAAGGCGGCGAAGTTTTCGGTCCTCAAAGTCTTACAGGGACTGCGCTTACCCGAGCCGTGCGAGGCTCCCAGGACAGGCGAGAAAGCGAATCTCTTCCTCCTGTTTCCATTCTGGCCATCGACTAATGAACGGACAGTGGGACTGCTGCTGTCTGCGTAGTGTCTCTGACTATTGAAGATACTCGAAGACATCCTTTACAGGATTCACGAAAATAAATTTCTGGACCTTTTGCTTGGCCCTTCGTACCAGTGTTGCTCACTAGAAATTTTCATCGTTTCATTCGTTCGTGTAATAAATGCACATTGCATGGCACCACTTGGGTGTAATGAAAACAAGGGAAAAGGCTCTGGAATGGGATGTGACAGCGGAAATCTAGGCACAAACATGAAAGGGTGAGCTGAAACGTACGGTTGTGTACATCATGTTTCACTGGACAGAGAGGCCTGGCTTTTCCTAATAAGAAAACAACTTTTATTTGACAGTTTGAACAGCCAGCTTATCCAAACTGTTCAAAAGCAGTTTGAAGAAGTCTAGGGAAGTCTGTTGTGGAAACTAAGATTTTCAGATTCAGGATGTCAGGCTTCCAAGTAGCTAAAGCAAAATAACATCCTTGCTTTAAGCAGCCCTGGGAGCCTTTGCCCTCCCAAATTAGGTTGTCTGTCTCCCTGCTAAATTAGGTTGTCTGCCTCACTTCCTTTCATTAAAGGGTCTTCAGCCATTTGGAGGACTACTGACCCAGCTGATGTGGTCAAGCTTCTAAGCCAGAAGCATGGGAGTACCTGGGGGATGTGAGCCCTGCAAGACACCTGCAGATGAAAGGAATGCAGTGCAGGGAGTGAGGGCAACCATGGCCATGAAAAGGGTGTTTTGTTTAAGAAAAGAGGGATGTGGGTACTAAATTAGAAATGCCTCTAAATAGGAAAGGTTGTCCTCCCTTCTCTGGGTACAGCTGGCTTAGAGCAGGTGTTCCATAGCTGGGGATCACTGAATGGCTGTCCATGTCACGAGCTGTGGAAGAAGGTTCCATGTTCTAGACAGTGAGCCACAGGTCTTCTGAACCTAATCACCACAGGCAAAAGTTTTATAAATTTAAGAGCAATCAGGATGAGAATGGTCTGCATTAGTGATATTATGGAATATTTTTAAAGAGAGCAGCTATTACACCATGTTCACGATTTTTATTCAGTTGTCTTTGAGCTCCTTACCCATCTTGGTATCCTCAGTGCCTAACACACACTTGGCACCTGCTAGGTGCTCATTAAAGATTGATAAACCAAATGAATGCAAAGTTATTTTAGAATGGTGGAGTAAGCAGGGTAACAGATACAGAGAGAAATCCAGTGCACTTTGTAAGACTCACTTGCAATTTACTTGTTTATATGGAAGTGCAACTGTAAACTTTGCCATAAATAATAGGATTTATTGGCTCGTGCCAGACTTCCCTCTTTAACAGCCATGTAACCTAGAAAAGCATGTTATTCAACTCCTCAGTGCCTCCATTTCCAAATCTATCAAAAGGAGATAAGAATGGGGACTTTGCTACACCTTAGGGATGCTGGGAGGACCAGATGAGAAAAAGTGTGGGCAAGTATTACCTCGTGAACAGCATTCATTAAGGGGCTACTGTGGATCAAGCACTGTGCATTGTAAATTGTCAATATTAGTTATTGGAATAAATTTTTCAGAAATTATCTGAGAATGGGGTTCAAATATTTATCTATGCCCCAAGGGTGGTGAGAGGCTGATTCAAGAGAAAAGAAAAGGGGAGAATTAACATTTACAGAGCTATTTCTAGAATCAGAATCATGGCATGCATTGTTATATGTTCCTCAGGACAACTGTGTGCAATGCATTTTGTTATGACCATTTATAGATGAGAAGTCTGAAATCAATAGCAATGGTAATGACCAAGGTCCTGAAGCTGGGAAGTGGCAGAGGCACCTTTGGGACCCAGGTTTGTGAGTTCGGGAATCCATCAGCGGCCCATCCTGCAATGCTGCCTCTAGAAGAGAAAAGAGGTAAGAGCCTTTAAGGAAAAGAGGCTAAAGAGAATTTCAAGAAAACAATAGTCTGGGCTTCCCTGGGGGCAAAGTGGTTGAGAGTCCGCCTGCCGATGCAGGGGACACAGGTTCGTGCCCCGGTCTGGGAAGGTCCCACATTCCGCGGTGCAGCTAGGCCCGCTGAGCCTGAGCGTCCGGAGCTCCGCAATGGGAGAGGCCACAACAGTGAGACGCCCTCGGGTTGTTTGGTTTTTTTTTGAGATTGAGTTGTATGAGCTGTTTATATATTTTGGATATTAACCCCTTAGTGGTCATATCATTTGCAAATTTTTCTTCCATTCTGTAGGTTGTCTTTTTCATTTTGTCAATGGTTTCCTCTGCTATGCTTTTAAGTTTAATTAGGTCCCATTTGTTTATTTTTGCTTTTATGTCCTTTGCTTCAGGAGACAGATCCAAAAAAATATTGCTGTGATTTCTGTCAGTGTTCTGCCTATGTTTTCTTCTGTGAGTTTTATAGTATCCAGACTTAACATTTAGGTCTTTAATCCATTTTGAGTTTATTTTTGTATATAGTATTAGATAATGTTCTAATTTCATTCTTTTACATGTATATGTCCAGTTTTCCAGCACCACTTATTGAAGAGACTGTCTTTTCTCCATTGTATACTCTTGCCTCCTTTATTGTGGATTAATTGACCATAAGTGCATGGGTTTATTTCTGGGCTCTCTATCCTGTTCCATTAATCTATGTGTCTGTTTATGTACAAGTAGCATACTGTTTTGATTACTGTAGCTTTGTGGTATAGTCTGAAGCCAGGGCACATGATTCCTGCAGCTCTGTTCTTCTTTCTCAAGACTCTTTTGGCTATTTGGGGTCTTTTGTGTTCCCATGCAAATTTTAAATTATTTGTTCTAATTTTGTGAATAACACCATTGGTATTTTAATAGGAATTTCATTGAATCTTAGATTGCCTTGGGTAGTATGGTGATTTTAACAATATTAATTCTTCCAATCCATGAACTTGGTATATCTTTCGATCTGTTTGTGTCATCTTAAATTTCTGTCATCAGTGTCATGGTTTTCCAAGCATAGATCTTTTATCTCCTCAGGTAAGTTTACTCCTAGGTATTTTATTCTTTTTGATGTGAATATAAGTGGGATTGTTTCCTTAATTTCTCTTTCTGATAATTCATTGTTAGTGTATAGATATGCAACAGATTTCTTTCTATTATTTTGTATCCTGCAACTTTACCAAAATCATTGATGAGTCCTAGTAGCTTTTTGGTGGAGTCTTTAGGGTTTTCTATGTATGGTATCATGTCATCTGCAAACAGTGACAGTTTTAATTTTTCCTTTCCAATTTGGATTCCTTTTATTTCTTTTCCTTATCTAATTGCTGTGGCTAGGACTTCCAAAAATATGTTGAATAAAAGTGGTGAGAGTGGGCATCGTTGTCTTGTTCTTGATCTTAGAGGAAATAATTTCAGCTTTTCACTGTTGACTATGATGTCAACTGTGGGCTCATCATATATGGCCTTTATTATGTTGAGGTACATTCACTCTATGCCCACTTTCTGGAGAGGTATTATCATAAATGAATGTTGAATTTTGCCAAAGGTTTTTTCTGCATCTGTTGAAATAATCATATGGTTTTCATTCTTCAGTTTGTTAATTTAGTGTATCACATTGTTGATTTGAAGATATTGGAC